CCCCAAAACCCCAAAACCCCAAACCCCCAAAACCCCAAAACCCCAAAACCCCAAAATTATCTAGATTTGTTGAAACCAGATACTACAAAACTAAGACAGGATGCTACCTTATCCAGAATTAATCTTAGTGAAGTCCTTATCAGGGAACAGGTACTCCTGAAGGAGTACCTTCAGCCTGTCCCTCTTAATACTACAAGGAATGTACTCTATTGCTTCTCCAATAATGGTCAACTTCTTATAAAACTCCGGGCTGGATTGATCAACTTTATCTTCATCTTTTGGGAAAATAAGTGAGATAAACTCTTTCGCAGCAGGGATGTAGTCTTTACTATTATTAATCTTAATGAATTTCAGCTCGATGCTTGAGTATACCTCCCTAGTCATAAAGGTAGCAAATCTATAGATGAAATTAGCAAATTACTCTAGTAGACAATCTGTAGAGACTTGAGAAATCTGGAGCTGAGTTTGAAACTTATCCGGCTTGGCTAAAGCCTTGTTGTCTCTTTTCTTTCCACCTCTCTTGAATTTTGAGCATGGATTTGATTTCTATAATGTCTTAGATAGTTCTCTTACTTTTGAGTTTGTCTGTGGGACCTTTGTAAAGCCACGCTTAAATTTTGAGCGTCTCTTTAGCAATGAAGTATCAATATTAAAATCTGGTCAGTCTGAACCACCAAAATTTGGTCCAGATCCTTCAGCTTGAAAGCCTTTTCCCAGTGAAGACTCACCAATTGTGATCTTTTCATCATCAAAATAGTCGATCTGAGGTTTTGGTTTCAAGTCAAGCTCATTGATTTGATCAAAGAAGGCTTCAACTTCTTTGAGAAACTTGTCAAAGCTATAATTGATTTTAATGCTTTCTCTAAGCCATTTTGAAATCTGTTGATTGAATTCACTCATGGCAAATCGTTCATCCATCAGAATGATGTTTCCATAGTCCTCTTTATGTCTAATCACACGCCCAATGGCTTGGTTGAATGCTCTGGTAGCTTGCAAGCTATACCATTCTTTACCAGTTAGGCAAGTAGAGTCAGTAGCTGAGGCCTTATCCAGATACCTCTTTTTTAGAATAGTTTTTGGCTCCTTTAGCATAGGGAATGGAATTCCTATCTGAATAACTGTTCGGGCTGCGTCGTCTGAAAAGTCGATTCCTTCAGCTATTTTGCCTCGACATATAGCCATAAGTAGAGCTCCGCCGTTATAGACATCCTTGTAATACCTCCTGATAATACTCCGGCATTTCTTTGAATTAGATGGTTCATAATATACCTTTTTAATACTGTTGATTTTATCAAGAATCCGCTCCTGTTCCCAGCTTTGCTTGAGTTTGTTCATCAAAGCATATGAAGGAAAGAATCAGAGGACCCCTCCAGGTGAGATTTGGCATATCTGAAGCAGAGCTTCACCTAAATCTTTCTGCATCTCTCTATTCTCTCTTTGTTTATACGTGAAGTTGAAACCTTCAGTGTCAGGTCCTTTAGTGATTACATTTACTAAAAATTGTCTATCAGGAATCACATGTGGGCACTCAATCACAACCTTGAACTCAGTGTTAAGTTCTTTGGTGAAGCACTCCATAGGTGAGAGGGTTCCAGAAGTCAGAAGGATAGATACAGGATTCAGCCCTTGTAATTTTTGAAATCCTAAACCAGGGTTAAAGCACCAGAATCCAAGTTTCCTAGCTGTTCCTGGATCTCCAGATTTGGGCTTCTTTGAAATATTGAATGAACTAAAATGATGTAGTTTCATCAATGATTGCAACAAAGTAGTCTTCAATGTCTTTCTTTTTATCTGGATCTTGTTCCACAGACTGCTCCTTTTGCAACTGTGTAAGGTTATACAGCCCCCCTACAGTTCTAAGAATATCCTCCATCACAACTAGATTAGAAGATAAGTTCTTGTCACCTGTTGCTATATCTCATCAAGGATGTTCTGAGCTGCTTTGTACAACTCCTTAGTTGTCTTCTTGACCTCAAGAGGGTCTGAAATCTTTAATATCCTTGGTAAAGCTATTTCAAAGATCACATTTCCAGGTAAGGTTGTGATTTCAGGATTGATAGATTCTACAAGTCAGATTGAAAACTTACCAGATCTGACATCTTTCTCACAATCGAAGTTGTTGAAGTTTTCCTTGAAATCAGCCAAAAATGTCCTCATTAAGAAAATATCCCTGTTAGTGCATACAGAATTCTCTTGATTCGCCAGTACTTTCTTTTGGATGGAATTTAGCTCGAAAATTGAGTCATTTATCAAACTTGTGGTCACTTCAAAGCTAGAGATTTCTTCGCAAACTCTTTCTATATTATGGGCCTCATCAAAGATTATCACTGAGTTCTCGAAGTAGACTGCAAATTGCTTCCTGACTTTCCAATCAAGTATATAGTTGTAGGGCATAAGGATCAAATCAGCATTCTCAACTCTAGCTTTTTGTAAGTAATAAGGACATATATTGAGCTCTTTGCCTACTCTATGAAGGTCTTCGATGTCCATTATTTCATCTCCAACTCCCTTAGGATTCTTTCTGCCAACAGTATTGCTGTAGGCATGGCAAGACATCCCAGAGAGTTTTCCTTCTCGCAAGGACTTTCATTTAGAGTTGAGAGTTGATCCAGAGAATGAATTTACTAAGCTATTCACTCACATCTGGTCTTTGCTTCCTAAGAGGACTGTCTTTGGCCGATAAATAGTTTCCTTGAGTTCCTTAATTACTTGGTTTATCTGAGAATGTGTCCTGGAGCAATATAAGATACGTGTCTTAGTGTGCTTCCTTTGATCTCTTTGATCTTTGAGCCACCCCAAAGTTGCACATAGTAGCGATAAAGTCTTTCCAGTACCTGTTGGGCTTTCAAGAAGCCCATTTTGTTGGTTATTTCATGCTGTTAAAACTAAAATTGTCACTTAGCTGACTTACCTTGATTCATATATTCTTCCTGGGTCTCATATGGCCTGAAAGGGAAGTATACCTTACTTCCTTCAAGGTCGATTTCAAAGTGCTTTTCTTTCAAATCTTCTTCGACTAAACTCTGAGATATGCTTTCTCACCTGCTATAAGACTATTCTGATCAAGCTCTTGAGCCAATCCCTCATTCTCTCCTGCTGATGCTGCTGGATCTTGTCTAAAGGGATCAGTACTCTTGGTGTATCCCTCATAATCCTCATACTGAATATTGTCCATTAAGTTAGAATTTACACTAAACTTTAAAAATTGACTTAAATCCATGGGGTTTTGGGGTTTTGGGGTTTTGGGG